GGTCTATTATGCCATAATAAGCTTACTCATTCGAATTTCAGGTGATAATGTGAAATTCGATCAACCATGGGAGTTGACGAAACCGGACGTAATCAGTGATATCTCGTTTTTTGACCGATCAACAGAAAGTTATCTTGTTAGTAACTTCAGCTACAGCAAAGGTAATCACAGTGAGAACGAACGTTACTTTTTCACTCTTGTAAACATAGAATTGTAAACAATTTGAACTATTTTCTAATTTTCTCGAAAAATATATAGATGGCTGCTACTATTTTACCCGCAGCTCTCCTATGCAAGCAGATGACCGCGGATGAATCAAATGTCGAAAAAATTCTGGCCAGCACGACTGTACCTTCCCGTAATGAATAAGGCCCCCACTTCTTTCCTCCCACTCTTCATCGGTTGATAATGCAGATTCAATAGCGTCGTTGGACCCATCTCATTCTAACACATTCCAATCCCTCCTGTCACCTTACCCCCCCCACCCCTACCTCCCTCATGTTCGATTTTCAAAAAGGCGAGAACTCTATGCAGCAGTTGGAGAAACAGCTGGTTTTATGCCCTTTTCCCACATTTCCGCCACTTTCAGGATTCGTGAAATGCTCTTCATCCATTCATGGCCAACCATTCGTTGTACCAAGTTCAACGAAGTCGCATTCGGGGCATTTGGGTGTGGTCGTTATTTAGATATTTCTGTGCATTGATTTTGGGAAGACGGTCGTTATTGAAATTCCAGGGAGAGTGAAAGTGGTGGGAACATAGGGGTCGTGCTGTAGTAGAGGAGAAAGGGGTCGTTTTCACGGGTATTTTTCACAAATTTTCGAGAATAACGGATGAAAAGGACAAAATTAGGGCATTTGCTGCTCCACTAGTTACGTGATCCCCCTTTTTCGCTCCGCCGCAATTTTGAAGGAAAATGGAAAATTTGGAGCGGAGTTGGATTGTGTCGAGTAGTACCAGAACCAGTTAAAATGGAAGCAGTCATAGCGGAGATTGGTGAGGGGAAGGCATGTGGGAATCCCTCCAAGGCTGGTAGTGGGGTGAGGGCTATGCCGAGACCCCTGAGGGGTAAATCATGAAAAATTTTATGACTGCTTAACGGGCGCTTAGCTCTGCCTTCAGCCAACACAAACAAGATTCGTTGTAGAAAAATCCTGTTCCGTAGCTCATTCCGTTCTCGCCTTTTTTCCGCCCTTTTATCTTATCCATTTGTTAGCAATCCCTACCAATTCGACATTTCCTTATTATAAGACTTCCCCCCTCCCCGCGAAAATTTCAGGTAGTTGAATTCCCATTGGCATATACACTGGCGACAAACATCACCGGTGACATACAGTTTTGAGTTGAGACGAGCAATGGTCTAGAATGAATCGATTTATACATTGAACAGCAGCATGTGAATCTCGATAAAAAAAAACTGGATCAATTTTTTTTGTTATGAGAACAGTTTCCATCCAATATGTACAACTGCTCCGTTGAACCTTCCATTTTATAGGCATGGGCAACCTTATGTTTCAATATGCATCATTGCGTAGTTTGGCTAATAAATGGAAATCCACTCTGGTCGTACCCGTCACCACTACTCTCAGGTATTCACTTGAGTTTTATCCCAGGGGAACGATAAAACAACGTTTCCTGGGCAAGTGCTTTATGCGTGGTTGAAGAAACCATGCACGGAAAAGTCATGAATCACCGGTAATCGGTTCACCATTCACGATTAGAATAAAGAGAACAAAAAATAATTGTCTTCATAATTGAAAAACCTGGCGGATTGTATGCGTTCAAAATCCCGCCGTACATCTGTCACAAATGTTGGCGACGGGAACGATTTCACTTGGTTCTCGGAGTGCCTTCACTAGAAACTCTTTTTTGGCCTTTTCCACTTATGGCATTAACATTTCTTTTCTACTGCATCCTATTCTATCGATCGTTTTGTCTCTATTCTCCGAAATTCGACGCTTTAACCCGATTCTTTCAATGCGTCGCCTGATACGTAGCCGCAAAAGCCGCACTTCTTTCCATGCGTCCCCTGTCTCCGCCCGACCTACCTGCGATCGTCCCCAGGGTGTGGTTTTTGTAGGTTTGTTTCTCTTTAGGAACAGAATCCACCTGCGGAGACTTTGTGCGTCACTTGTGGGGGATCACAAACGAAGTATTCATGTGAGCGAAGGAACCGCAGGTTTTCGGGGAGGGTTCCTTCACGCTCGACGGAAAGGGCTCATTGCCGCAATTGAACCAAATCCTCGAATCGAAACCAAATCCTGGTCATTTAGTACTACTTTAGGTGTCTGCTGGAAAGTGGAAAGGTGCCGTCAGAAGATCATGTGAGCCGAGGAAGGTGTTAAACGTCGTGAATGTACATGAAACGAGCGTTAGGAAAGAGCAAAAATCTAAAAATTGCCTCACAAAGATATCTAATCTGGTCGGAGAAAAGGTGGAAAGAGGCTCGAAACGGAGGAGGGATTGAACGATCATATGGGCACAAGCTAGATCAAGCCGACTGAGGTGGGGCTAAAATTAAATGTTCAGGCTGTGTTTTTTTTTTCTAAGGCCACAAAATGGCTAATTAATGTGGCACATTGCCGTGACATGCCCATGTGAACTGTGCAGGTTACGGCAAAATGTTCGATGAACAACACGTAGCTGACCATGAGATTGACTTCTCGATACTTCATGAATTCTTAAATGAAGTCCTTCCCAACCACCTTACCAGCACCAACTAGGAAATACTTCAGACGCGCTTTTGAACTAAATGCGACATTTGTGACCTAAGAAAGTTGCTGATGAACTGCTTCGAAGAGCTGCGAATTCCACAATCGAAACTAAGGTCAGTCAAAGCTTCCCACCTCCCCCGACAATAGCCGGCCCTAAGACTTCAACTGTCACGTTTCGTTTTCTTTCAGAACTGTTGCAAATTCGTTTCTATTCCTGAACCTACCAACCAACGACTCACAGCAGTTACTGGATATCTTCAAAATCCACGATACTTTACTCCAGACAACGAGGCCGTCATTTGTAAAGAATTCGACTTCCTACCAGCCATTCAGGAACAGGTTCTTCTTTATTCGTATCGTTTTCTCTCTGCCTTCACGGACTTTCTAGTGGCATATGGCGTGATCCTCGTAGAAAGAAGAGGGCCAGTCATAAATTGCACGCTCCGGTGGAAGCGATTCAGAAATTGTTCAAAGGTAGAGGCACGATAAACTGTATGCTAAAGAAAAGTGGATATACCTAGTATGAAGAGAACCTGTGCCTCCTAGGAAGGAAAAGTGACGCTTGTACAGGGGAGGCGCGCCCGTAGCGACCTAGCAAGGCTTTACACGTCCCATTGACGCCTCGCCTCTCCACGCCCACCGAGTGGCTACCCCGTCTGCCGGTCCCTCGCCGTCGCACTCTAGCTGTTTTAGCAGTCAAGCAGAGCACTCAGGACCAGGGTGAATAACGGTCGAGGAATTCCTCGACCATCGCTCTCTGCTGTGCGAGAGTAGTGCCGAGAGTGAATGTACGCGCGGAGAGCACAGACGGCTCGCGCATGGCGAGAGTGAATGTCCGCGCGGAGAACGTAAAGGATCAGGCGAAAATCCTCGACGTGCCGTTGAGGAATCCTCAAGCGATATTCACCCTGCTCAGGACAACACCGATTTGGCTCGTTAAAACGGGCATCTTCGGGGAAAACAAGGGTCTAATTTCACTGATTTTTTTCACTGCTGTGGGCTAGCAGTTCTGCTTTCATCCCAACGAGCGACCATCTACCGTACCGGGAGCCTAACGCGTTTCGCAATGGCCTAGAAGTGGATTGTCGTGTCCACGAATGAAAGTAGACGTTGTATACAGTTGACCGGTAATCTTTTTTTCAGTGGTATACAA